GGTAGCCCCATCTAGTCATCTGGTAGCCCCATCTAAGAGGTGTTCTACTGACATTTAACTGGGTTATATGATTAATTCTGAATAGATTTAGATCCATCTTCTTCAGCTTATCCGGGGTCGGGTTGTGGGGGTAGCAGCTTCAGTAGGGAGGCCCAGACGTCCCTCTCTCCAGCCACTTGGTCCAGCTCCTCCGGGGGAACCCCAAGACGCTCCCAGGCCAGCAGAGAAACATAGTCCCTCCAGCGTGTCCTGGGTCTCCCCCTGGGCCTCCTCCCAGTGGGACGTGCCTGGAACACCTCACCAGGGAGGCGTCCAGGAGGCATCCTAACCAGATGCCCGAGCCACCTCAACTGGCTCCTCTCGATGTGGAGGAGCAGCGGCTCTACTCTGAGTCCTCTCCGGATGACTGAGCTCCTCCCCCTATCTCTAAGGGAGAGCCCAGCCACCCTACGGAGGAAACTCATTTCAGTCTGTTGTATCTGGGATCTCGTTCTTTCGGTCATGACCCAAAGCTCATGACATTAGATGAGGGTAGGAACGTAGATCCACCGGTAAATCCAGAGCTTTGCTTTTTGGCTCAGCTCTCTCTTCACCACAACAGACCGGTACAGCGCACGCTTCATAGCAGACGCCTCACCAATCCGCCTATCAATCTCCCGCTCCATCTTCCCCTCATTCGTGAACAAGACCCCAACATACTTAAACTCCTCCACTAGGGGCAGTACATCCTCCCCAACCCGGAGAAGGCACTCTACCCTTTTCTGGCTCNTCCTCCCCAACCCGGAGAAGGCACTCTACCCTTTTCTGGCTCCAGACCATGATCTCTGATTTAGAGGCACTGATTCTTATCCCGGCCGCTTCACGACGGCTGTGAACCACTCCAGTGAGAGCTGTAGATCACGCCCTGATGAAGCCAACAGAACCACATCATCTGCGAATAACAGAGATGCAATCCTAAGGCCGCCAAGACAGATCCTCTCAACACCTTGGCTGCACCTAGAAATTCTGTCCATAAAAGTTATGAACAGAATCGGTGACAAAGGGCAACCTTGGCGGAGTCCAACCCTCATCGGAAACGAGTCCAACTTACTGCCGGCAATGCAGACCAGGCTCTGACACAGGGACCTAACAGCCCCTATTAAAGGGGAACACCATTTTTTTTTTCCATTGGTCCCTTGATTTTCCGTTATTCCATCATGTTCTACTCTCCCATATGAGTTTAGTGTCATTTGGAGCCGTTCTGAAGATATTCCGTTAGGTTATATCCAGTAACGTCTTCCTATGAGCAACGACTTGAAGGCACAGACTAAACTGTTCATCATTTATTCTTTATGGTACGTCCGCCGTTAGATTTTTTCTATTTATATTTTTAAAAAACAAAGCAGAGTATCCCCCACAGGACCCCCGAGGTACAGGGTCAAATGCCTTCTCCAGATCCACAAATCACATGTAGACTGGTTGGGTAAACTCCCATGCACCCTCCAGGATCCTACTGAGGGTGTAGAGCTGATCCAGTGTTCCACGGCCGGGACTAAAACCACACTGCTCCTCCTGAAGCTGAGATTCGACTATCCGACGGACCCTCCTTTCCAAAACCCAGGAATAGACCTTACCAGGGAGGCTTAAGAGTGTGATTCCTATGTAGTTGGAACACACCCTCCTTTTTTAAATAGAGGGACCACCACCCCAGTCTGCCAATCCAGGCCCCTAATGTCCACACAATGTTGCAGAGCCGCGTTAACCAACACAGCCCCACAACATCCAGAGCCTTAAGGTATTCAGGGTGAATCTCATCCAACCCTGGGGCCATGCCATCGAGGAGCTTTTTAACCACCTCAATGACCTCAACACCAGAGATGGGAGAACCCGACACAGAGCCCCCGGACTCTGCTTCTTCATTGGAAGACGTGTTGTTGGGATTAAGGAGGTCTTCGAAGTACTCCGC